GTGTGTATCATGCCTATGAATTAAAATTAAGAGTAGTCTTATTCTGCTACAGAAGCTGTCCCTCATTCATAAATACCAATAAAAAGTAACTACCTGAGAAAATTTCAGTAAATATAATATTCAGATAATTTTTTCAATAAGTGGTTGGGTAAAGATTCAGAAAATATTGTTTTTCTCATATTTTTTTTCCAAATAAAGTCAGAGTTCTTCGTTCCAAATGTGTTTTCAATAATGTGCAGATTTCATCATGCATGTAGGATTGCCCCGCATGCAGAGTTCACGGAGCGTGAAACACGCTAGCCTGTGACCTAGTTTTCTGCGGGCAGCTATGTGTAGTTTGGACGACAAATTAAAGAAAATTATTTAAGTCATTTAGTTAATTGACACGGAGTTAGAAGTAAAAAATTCAGCAATATGGGCTGGTACTTGACATTTTCTGGAACGTATTTTACACAATGGCATCGGTCAACGCTTGGGGCTGCTGCTTAACCCGCATGTTGGCCTGGGCAAAAGTATGATGTGGTCAAATAAAAATCTTATAAGGTTGACGTTTGTAATAGCCGAGTAGAATAATAAACTGCATTAACTCGTCGAGTACCGGTTTTGTAGACACAATTATAGAACAATAGGTTGCGGTCACCGGTGACCGCTTGGTGTTTGACAGTTTAAATACCAAGCAACAAAAAATATTGCTTACGCCTGCGTGTCATTGTGGCGTTAATTTTAAGTATTAACACTGATTTTATAAGTCGTTTATATACTTACCAAATGAACTTAATTTGTCCGCAATAAAAATGAGTATTATTATTAAATTACTATGCTGATAATTTTGGCGTTTATGAAAAGATTACATAAAACGTATTTTACCCTTCATCTCGGTGTTTGTTATAATTAGTAATTTGAATATTTTGATTTACATTTTAAAATATAACACAGCTAATATTGCAGAATGCTGGATTTCTCACCTTCGAAAACAAGAAAATGTTATTTATAACAGTGAAATTCCTTGGAAACAGAAGAAATGTTCTTAAAACAATAAGTGGTGTCGATCATTTATAGATTAAACGACCTGTCCGATAATAATATGTAGAATGTCTTCTTTAGATACTGTTTAAATAATTTAAATACGTGAGACATGAAATCTCTTCACTTACTACACTTACATAATTTAACTCGTCGAGTACCGTCATTATAGACACAATTATAGAACAATAGGTTGCGGTCACCGGTGACCGCTTGGTGTTTGACAGTTTAAATTCGTATAATGTTAATCTTGCAATTTTACAAGACACAATAACTACTAGGACGGTAGTTGGACAATAATGAAGAAGTTGGGTTAGGTTAGGTTTGTTTAATGTCATTATAGTAGGTTATTTCATACCTTGAAAATGTATTCAAAAATAAAATAATGACTTATGACTTACGACTTACGACGACTAATAAAATAAAAATTGTTACGTAAAATTTAAGTGAGGAAACCTTCTCCAAATGAACGTAAATTGAACAAACGCTTTTTTACTGACTAGGCAACTCTCTTCACAGTATTTCTTTTTTAAATTTTTATAACAGACTTCAAAACGAAGAAGGGTTTTCTCAATTTGACATACATGTATGTTTGTCCGCGATTATCTCGCGATTGAATGAAGTCGTTTTTTAAATGTAGTTTATGGATATTGTTTTAAAGACTGATATAATAGATTTTTAATAGTACCAATGTAGTATCTTGCTCGTTCTTTTCCATATGAATCTACGTTCGTGAGCGAGACTCCGAGAAGGAGACTCGTAGGAGGAAACAGGTTGGCTTGGCAGCAGCCTGTAGCTATTTTTTTTTTTAAGGGGGGGAAAATCATCGAATAACTGCACCCGCCTGGGTGAGGATGCTTATAGGAAACTCAATCTAGTCTTCTGGTTACAGATACCGCAAAGCCTGAAGACAAAAGTTTTCAACGAGTGCGTCCTATCAGTAATGACATACCGAGCCGAGATGTGGACACTGACAGTGGGATTGGTTCAACAATGCCAAGAGCTGAAAACCGTGCAGTCAGTGGCGTGCCACGCCGAGAGGCCATGTCCAGAAGTGGACGGACACGAACTGATGACGATGACCCTGGTTTCACTGAATACTTGGCTGACAGAATATTCTATGGATTAAAATTGTCTTCACAATTGTACTTTGGGGGTCGAGAGGAAACTAAAACTTGGATGAAAAAGAAAAATCCACTGTCGGATCTCTCAAGGGACAAGAATACACCATAATTAGGGGGACGCATTCATAAATTATCGGGAGCCGAAGGGCCGAGAGTGGACCACCAAGTACCCAAGATAAGTTTCTGGTATTTATTACTAATATTTTATCACGGGTAAAACATAAACGTTATCCAAAACATACACAAGTCTACCTAGTTTGAAACATTAAATAAATAGAAAAAATAAACACGTATTAACACAAAATATTATAAACAAGCATGTTTTTCTCTAAATAATTTTCTTTCTCCTGTTTTTTTTTATAAATAATTTTGATACTCGGTATAAATCTTAATTAGATTATCCGCCGACCTGTACTATACATTCTCGGTTAGGCCTGTAGTCAGACAGCTTTTCAGATTTTGAAATAGGTGTGGCAGGTAGGTACTTGTTGAAAATGCTAATAAATAAAAATAAGATATTGTATTTAAGAAACATATTCTAAAACCAATATTTGCAATATTGGTTTTATTTCTCTTACAATGACCATAGATAGACAGACCATTCATCAACAAAAGGTTTTATTAGGTATTTATAATTTAATTTGGATACATTTAGTATTCAATATAGTATTCAATATACCGTTTTGGTGCCACAAATATGAAATTAAAGTTAAGTGTTACTAGGTTATAGAAACATTTTGTAGCTCCTTATCTGGTTATAATACATGGTTTGATCGTTTTATGTATGGTCGTTTAAATACGGTATACTCAATGTAGCTATCCTTCATAGATATTTTAAGTCAGGGTACTAAGTTCATACAAATTCCAACTACGTATCATTTATGGTTGTCATTTACTTTACTACTATTTGTTATTGTTTAACTATTATTGCCTAAAAATGCTTTAATAATCAATAAGACATATAAAATCATACCCTTCATGTAAAAACAAATAATATGGATCCCATAAAATTATTAGGCGTGTTATTATATCTAAACCTGAGGACGTCGTTAACTTAGTCTCGTTCATTGATGTTAAAGATTTGACGAGTATATCGTCAAATCGTTAACATTAATTATTTTAATATTATTCTACCCAAAATTTTTCCATACAAAATTCTTATTTAATATTCTATTTGACGATTCGATAAAAGTATTGAATTTGCCTTGTCATCTACCATAATAGCCGATGTAGACCGAGCATCACTGGGTACACTGGTTAAACAAAATGGCGGATTTTGGGTGCCATTTTGCATCGTCAATTTTTTGTGTCGGGACATTTACTGTAGTAAAAGGAAAAAAAAGGTAGTAGTTAGATTCATAACTAACAAAAAGAAATAATAAGGAATAAGGCGAAGGGCTTATTGAAATGTATGTATACAACAACAATTTCGTAATTATGATAATTGACAACAAAACGAATAGAAAACGCAGTCTTTGGACATATCGACACTTCTAGTCTAAAATTGTTTAAATATCATTAAATAACATTACTTCAATTTAACATTTTCTATCCTGTGCCTTTAGCCAAACGCCAGTTTAGCGCTTGCCTACAGAGATAGTAGAAAACTAAATGAATGGGGATGACACTGACAAGTGTCAAAATTTACGTCAATTCTATATATATAATTAGATTTTCTATTATACATGTAGACAAGCGCTAAGTGGCATTTGGCTACAGCTGCTGAATACAAACTTAGTACACAGATCCATAACTTTCGAAATAAGCGAAGTATGCAAAATCAGTTTAGGTTTACCCTGAATGTGTGGTTTTGTAAGATATTCTATAGTACTTAAGGTTTGCCGGGGTACTCAAAATCTGTTATCTAAAGTTTGTTTTCTATTTAATGTCGATATTTTTATCCTATTGGTAGGGGAATTTCGCGGAATATTTTATTGTAAACACCGGTTATTTATACGTATCTGCATGAAATTATCAATTCCATTCCTATGTGTATAATATATGTATCGAATTCGTATCACACACACTAACAAACATTATAGTTTTACAGAAGGTTAGGCACATAGTCATTCAGGAGGTTACTAAAACACACAGAGTTAATTACAGGGTGCAAGTATAAATTATGGGGCCGCCGCCAGCCACAGTGAATTTTCATTTCTTAAGGTGCCACTAATGTATTGATTTCACTGCACTCCAACACTAAACACTCACTGACACAATTTTCAACACTGCACATCTCACTTCTCCGAGAAATTCCGCACTGCAATCCAATTGATTCACTGCAATCCTTAATTAACAACGAAGGCTGTCACCATCAATGGCGGCGGCGGCGGCGGCACCGTAATTGTGCATGAACGTAGGTTTAACATGCCACTTACAGATACCATAAAAAGCACATTTAATTATCTACAATTGCTTCATAAGAAAACATAAGCACCTAACAGTCGACGATTATATTATTGGTTTAAGAAAGTAATATAATATATATATGCCAAGCAAACATGTCGGTACATCATAGGCATAGATCCACTTTATCATAATATTACTTAATTCAATGTTATTTCATAACTTCAATAAACAATTATTTGGTTAATTTATTAAAGACTAAAAATTTGTTAATGGAAAAATACAGTGGATTTAAGCCATTGTGTGATCACTTCAAGTATTTAAAATAATCTCAATTATTCAAAACTACTCAATGGTTTTCTCAATCTATTTACTTATTTTTCAATAAACATGATTGTGTTCAAATACATCCTGACTAAGCCAGGAAAGAGAATTTACCAATTAATTTAATTTTATATACAAAAAATGACCACTGTTAAAATAAAGCCTATTAAAACTTGTACTCACGACAGGTGGTAGCGTGACACGGAAGCGGGAGCAGGGGTAGAATTCACGGAGGACGAAGAACCTGAGTAGCCAGAACCGGCAGGGGATGAGCCGGCTGAGGGTGCACCCGCTGCAGAGGGTATCGCAGCTGGCTCATAATACTCGGTGGTAAGCGTGCGTTCGTCCAGCACGAGTTCCGTATTATGTGCCTTTGATGCAGACTTAATGTCCATAAAGGCAACTGTGGCACAGACGCCACTGGCACCTCCGGCATTGACACCAGTGGTAATGTTGTCTGCCCGACCCAACAATTTGACATTCTGGACTCGGCCATAGCTGTGAAAAGAAAAACACTTTGACATATCAATAATCTAATTTTAATAACTTCCACCATGTATTTAACACAATTCATTCCAGTTTTTACGCGTTAGAAGTCAACACATTTCTATATTTTATTATTTTACGGTAAGTACTAGTACAACTAAGTAATTTTATCAAATAATGAAAATTTTAACACAATTTATTTAAATAAAATTATAAATAAAATATCCAACAACACATCTGTTTTATATCATCAAAGTTTGTACTCAATGAGTTACGATTATAAGCTACACATTTTCGACAAAATTTATCATAGAGAGAATCTTCAATGAAATGAAATTATATATAAACCAAGTGTAAATTAACATTTAAACACTGTTACGTGATTTGTTTTAAGATAAATTGATGATAAAGGTAGGGCTTCACGAAGAATTTTCTAAAAATCTAAATAAAATACCTAATAAGCTAATTGATCACTGTAAGTTGCACTTGCCGACCATATTATTGTATTTGAATTGTTATCAAGGTGTATGCAAATCTTATTACGTTTATAAGTATAACAATCAATAGCAAGGATCTGTTAGGCCAGAATTTGGTGACTGATATATAAATAAGGCTATTAGGCGACGCATTCCACACGACAGTTTAGAACTTTAAATTTTCTTGTAGATCTATTTCCAGATAGTTTTTTTTTTGTCATAAACCATAATCTGAAGTGACTTATATTATTATTGCCTTACATAGCGAGATACATCATTCCTACATTTGCAGTGGAATAGGGTAGACGACTAATTTTTATTTTAATGTCCGTCTGGTAGATTATTTAAAAACATTAGACACGTATTTTTTATTTTCTTACGGAAACGAATAGTTTCGAAGATATATTGATTTGAAATGTCGCGTGACGTCACTTCTCAGTACATTTTATACTAAGAAATGACGTTTTAGCCCCCACTCCTAAACTTTGATTCGTTTTATCTAAGTATTGTTTTATTATACAACAAAATAAAAAAATACGTGTCTAATATTTTTTTATTACCTAAGTTACGGACTAATTATATTTTTAATTTTCATACCCTGTCATCATCCCCATTATTTAGTAACGAATAATTGTTACATAAAAATGGCAGGATAACACATACATATAGATAGATTTTAGTGGGGATAACGTTTAAAAAAAAAGATTGGATGACTGAATTTTTGATAGTATGTATACCTCTCTTTTGTAGTTCTGTGAGACTTGTGGCAATCGAAGGACTTTCGTCACCAAAAATGTGTAAAATGAACCAAACTGAAATGTCTGCCAGAAAAAGGTTACACGGTTTTGAAGATACCAGAGTGCCCAGTATGATTTTGCGATCGACACGTATGACGTTGTCGACGTTCAGACTAGGCCTTTGATTAGCTGCAACTTTACCTAAAAATAATTCGCAATTACCACTTATAACCATGCCCTTTACCATTGTTGACGGTGCACATAGGTGAATCGCGTGGTGTTCTTACAGGTCTCAGTATTAGGACCTCACTTGTGAAGACCTGTCGAGTATGACTGGGTGCTGAGGAGGTTTTCGTCGGTTGTCTACAAGAATCCTGCCACGGGAGATCGTCTCTGCATGATATTCCTTTTGATAATTGCTACTTTTAGATATCTTTTCGATCTGGGAAATGAACCCGAAACACCTTGCTTGGTAGTCACAGCTATGTATGCCATTGCTTATGTTGCAACTATTACAATTGTATGATTTTCAGGGTTCATTATGTCAATAGGAATGTGGCATGGTAACAAAATCTCGTATCTTCAAGTCCATGGATTTTTTTCTAAAAGATATTTCAATTTCATTGTCATACATAAGGCGGTGAAGACCCTTCTATTCTATTGCCATAAGTTTTAAAATGCTACTATGGCAGGGTCAATCATACATTTTTGAGCAACAATTGTCCTTTTATCCACAAGAAACATTTAAGTAACAATCCACAATGAATTGCTATTCAGTAGGGTAGAATTAATTAATTTATTAATTAAATAAATACATTATGTAATTTTATTTTATCTTTGTACCATATCATAATATGGTTCTCAAATGTATTGAGTTTCAACTTATCAAAAATGTAGCTTTGACAAGTGTTGGGTAGGGCCAGTTCTCGTGTATTAATTGTTTCAAAATATGACCAGTAGCTTATTATCAACGATTTTTAAATATTTCTATTACGTGGGTTTAGGTATCTAGCACGTCATAACTAGATAAAACGCGTGGGCAGGGTTCATGAACGTGTACCTTTCGGAAGACAGGTTCAACTTTGTTATTATTTTGTTTGAAAGCAGTTGTAGTCTAGGTGCATACTTAATAAATCGGAACATTGCAACATAACATTCAACATTTAAGATTTCGTTCGTAACCTCTACGTTAGAACTAGGTATGAGATAGATAAACTGTAATTTGTAAAATTCTTTTACAATATACTGTTTTTGTATTGTGCATGTAGTATATATATAGTGCATGCAAATGCACTACTAGGACTTACAAAAAAAGTGGTGAAAGTGGTATGGCAACAAGTGCATATTAAAAACATTATTTACTTTACTAATGTAAAACACCGTAAGCTGTTTTTATTAGATATTAATGAGGTACTTAATATGAAAATATTATGCTAAAGCAAATGAAAATTACAATAATTGTACTGTATACATGATATATAGCAAGCAACACAACACATCTATACGTACGTACATATATAGGACACATGAATAACCACAAATATCGAAACAATAATTAATAATGTAAAATACATAATTAGGTAGGTGTTAACTTTAATGCTCTAAAAATTAAACTGTCCTGTTCTCAATGTTCATTAGTCATCACAAACACATTATTGAAATGAAACAGTAGTTATTGAAGTAAAGTAGATATGAGTAAGATTCAGGTATAGTAATAAGATTCAGTAATAAAAAATCTAATTTAAGTACCATATGTAGTTGTAGGTACGTCCAGCAATTTCAGCTATTATGTATCTTTGCTATAAGTCGCTCCGATAAACATTATTATTATTGCAACACAATACCTACTATGTTCGTAAGTAGATTTATATAATATAATAGGAAACCTGATTTTAAAATGGAAGCCAAATTCTGTATTTCAAGCAATGTGTGTGGGATTTGCGAGATTGAATAATTTGTAAAAAAGTAACCGAGATAATAGGTAGGATACATTATAAAGTAACGGTAGAAAAGATAAAATAGACACGGACATAACAGACGAGGTTCTGATCATGTAATTATTTTATTATTATAACGTAATTAGTAAATAAGCCATGTTACCTGTTTTCGTCAGTCAAACATTTGAATTGGCATTATGAAGAAGCAACTTTATTTAAAAATAAACAACTAACCGGACGAGCAGCGGTGCGCGTCAGCATTACACGAGAGCGAGCAGGCCAGAAGCTATAAAACGCGTTGTTGCCGTTCTGATCACAGTTCACAATAGGTGTATAAAAGATAAGCGTCGTTGCCATACCGCCGTGCCGCGCCGTTTGCCTCCCCATTCTCTCTATCATGTAGTTGCGAGCGAATGCTATTCGTTTTATGTATACGTATTGAACATAGCTGTTTATTATTTCATCATGCTTGTTTTTTTGCGTGGATTACAAAATGTACATTTTTCATACTCTAAGTTCTGTTAATTTCCCTATTCCGAAGTTTTTTTAAACCGTTATAATTAATATATGAACTACACTACTACACTAATTAATTAAGTTAGGAAGGTGTTCACTTAAGGAATATTATATTATTTATTTGTATTCTTATTAAAAGACGTTTGTATGAGCTAAGTTAAGACATTATACTTTTTCTTGTCCATATAGCATACTGCTACTTTAAGCGACTGTTATTTTGAGCGTACGATTAATCTACACGCCTAAACTAGTCACACAAATTTTAAAAAGAATATTCTTTGTATCTACCAAACCTTTATTCGGAAAAAAGTTACTATTATCTTTTGTGAAATTTATTCAAACACGATTAAATCGGTCGATGTCTGGTGCGACGTTGCCAGTTTTATGTTCTTACAACATGGCCGCACTCGCTGCCGAAGCCGGTTTCCGTGTGAAACTCAACTGAACACACAGCGCGTGTGTTTGTGTGAGCACACGCAGGCAAACGAACGGAGTGCGGAGGTGCGGGGTGTGCGACGAAGTAGCAGTGTCGGGCGACTCAGGCAAGGAAAAATAAGTGTTGTGGAGCGGGGAGTGGGGGAGATACCGGGTCGGTGACGTCATCAACTTTCTGAATAGCTGCTACTTCAATCAGTCGTTGTGGTGACTTGTCTTTTGTATTTTTTTTGTTTACGAGAATAATAGGACTAAATTTAAATGCTTTACGTTTATGAAATATCGTTTCTTTTATATTTCTGTTAATTACTTAATTTGTTTATTTCACGGAAAGAAGTTTAATATCTAGCCCATAATAATATAGGTAGTTTCGTTTTCTACATACTAATTTAATACTGTTCAAAAAATTAAACAACAAAAGACAACGTTTATATTGTAATCCAATGAATGACCATAATAATATTCAGAAGTTCAGGTAACTACCTCTAAATATGATTTCTAGCTAGTAATTTTTTTCTGCTGTGTTGGCTTTTGAACGGTTTTTTTTTAAGGGGGAAAATCATCGAATGATGAATGAGGAACAATGTAGGTAGATGCCTATTTAATATTTTAACATTCAATTTTGGGTACTTTTCTACAATTAGTCTCCAATGTTTCGATGTAACGGCCTAGCTCATTATCTGACTCAGTGTTAATACTGAAAATAGGTATAATCAGATAATCGCAAAAAAACAAAAACACTTTGTCCTGACCCAGGATTAGACCGACATCACTTACAATCGTACGGTTGGTCTATGTCATATAATTTATGTATATCTATGCCAAGTTTATGTTAATTTTCAAACAATATACGTATCTTACGAATGATACTAAAGCAGTACCGCTGTTGCACTCACTGTAGGAGTCGACAT